GTACACGGCAGTAATGACAGCTTCTGACCACATCTTTTTCGGGACTTGATATTCGATTAACATCGTGCGGACCTTCTCAACAATGGTTCTGTTGAACCTCTCCGCAACGCCGTTTTGTTGAGGCGTGTAAGCAACGGTTGGTTCGATTTGGATACCTTTCTGTGAGTAAAAACGCTTTTGGTTGTTAGAAAGATACTCACGGTCTTGATCTATTGTTAGTTTCGAGATCTTCATGTTGAACTGCGCCGTTACCATTGCTTCGTAGTTGCGGAATCGATCAAACACCTCCGATTTTCTCTTAATCAGGAACAGCATTGCAAAATGGGTATGGTCGTCAATGAAGGAAACTAAATATTTCGAACCATCCCACGCAGTAGGTTCGATTGGTCCGCATACGTCCGAATGAATTCTTTCCAACGGCCTTGTTGCTCTAGGGCGTGTGCCGTTGAATGGTTCACGACATTGTTTCTCTTGCACGCACGCATCACAGAACGGCAGCTTGTCTGCTCTGAAATCAGCACCATCCACAAGATTGTTACTTATGATCGCTTTCATTCCCTGTTGACTCAGGTGTCCAAGCCTTCGGTGCCACAAATTGGTCGCTTCAGTTTGACATATATTTGCCGAAGACACTGGAATGTTTACCTTGATCTCGTACAGGTTACCTCTCAAGTTCGCAGTAGCAATGACTTCGTTGTTTTTCTTTGGAACCGCAACGGAACCGCAGAAAATTACCACAACGCCTGCCTTCACCAACTTTTTAACGGACATCAGGTTGTCGCGAAGCTCGGGGACATAGAGAACATCCTTCATGTTCAACGACGTGTTCTTGTTACTGCTTCCGACGATGGTTCCAACCGTTTTTTATGTTTCTCCGTCCTTCGCTACTTGAACCACAATGGGTTGTTTCATCTTGCGAATTTCCGAGAATACTGCCAAATCATTCACTAGTTGGTCGCTTGAACCCAAATCGAGCTTGAATACCACCTTTCCACTTGGTGCCTTTTCAATCTTGTGACTTGCAATGAAACTGCATTTCGTTGATCTGCCGAATTAGCTTCACCGCTTTTCTGCCGACAGTCCTTCTTCAAATGGCCACGCTTTCCACAATTGTGACACTTGCCTTGGAACTTCGTAGACTTGCGTTTCTTCTTTCCAGAAAATACCGCAGCCTTGATCTCACCTGAGTCTTCGTGACGTTCGGTTCTTTTCAGGTTGGTCAAGCAGGACAGGGTAATTGGTAAATGAGTGACCAAACGGGTTCCACACAGTTCACCACTACTGTTATCTTTGTTATCTTCACGTAGGCTCTTGGTCTGTTTCACTTTAAGAAACGATCGATAGATAACAGTAGTGTGCGAACAGGCCTTTTATCCCGATCGCTTCTCGATCGTCAGCAGCTGTAGCCGGTCAGCTGATAGTGTAGATAGAATATAAAAATAGAAGTTAATAAACCGTCGCGTGTACAACACGTATTTCAATACCGTAAAAATATATGTACTCTGTTCGCGTAATAAAATAGTTTTATAAATTGAAGTCCGCCACGTTATTTTAAAGTGTGTCCGAAGGAACCTGAAGAAAGTAGTGTCGCGCGAACACAAGTCTTCTGCCAATAAGCGTTGCTTCACGAGCTCCAAACTCAACTCTTCCTCAGGAATGTTTTCCAAGGCCTTCACGAAGGGGTCATACGCATCCGGTAGAGTCTGGAATAGCGAAATGACCAAAACAGCTTCCTCGACCTTCGCCCCAGCGGTATTCAGCTGACGGATCAAGTCTTCGGACACCAGCAAGTGCGCTTTCATCGAATCACCATCTATCAACTTCAGACGATTCAACCAAAGATGAATACTAAGATGAAACTGTCGGAAAAAAAACTTTCTATTTTAGTGTCCTCTTTCACGGTCCCTTTCATCCATTGAATACCCCTCGTATTCAAGGTAATTTTGTGGTTTTGCTGCCCCTTCGTAGAGATGAAATTTTGCGCTCATTTTTATCAAAACAAACACACCAAAATCAGAGGTGTCCCATTTTTACCCTTCTTACAAAGAAGGGTATAGATATCACTTGAAAAACCGACTATCGATCCGAGGCCCGGAGGGCCGAGTGTCATATACCATTCGACTCAGCTCGACGAGATCGGAACATGTCTGTGTGTGTGTGTATGTGTGTATGTGTGTATGTGTGTGTGTATGTAACGAAATGAATGCGCTCACGTTTCTCAGCAACCGCTCAACCGATTTGGACAAACTCGGCGCCAAATGATAGGTCTTGGGGTCCCATTGAACGCTTTTGAACGGTTTTGGAATAGGTGAACCGGTTCCGGAGATATGGCCGGAATAAGATCCGGTGAATATGGGCCTTCACGCTGGATTTAACGGAAAACGTATCAAAACCATCATGCGACACATCAAATTACTACAGAATTCAAAAATAAGATCAATGCAAGTCGTGTTAAGTGTTCCAGACCACATTGGACACACTTGGACATGTTCCGGGTACCCCGGGGAAGTTGCTTGAATATGAATTGAATTAAAACCCATTAAATCACATTAAAATACGATGATAAGGTGATTGGTAGCCTCATCAAATAGACTACACCCGGATATATTCCGGGTACCCCCAGGCAGTGGCGTACACACTTAATTCAGATCACCGAAGTTGGTAGGATTTTACCGGGTTTTTGAACAGCAGAACAAGTCGGTAAAATTTTCAAATGACCGTTGCACGTGAGAAATCAAGAAAATGTATAAATTTTATTTTTCATGAATAAATGGAGCATACATATGTACAAGCTCGGAGTAAATTTTCTAAAAATTGGATTTTTCACTGATTTTTAAACTTATACCGAAAAGTTCTGTAGTTTAAAATTTACCGAACAACGGAGGCCTGGATTAGTGTGTAGCGTCACTGGATGACACGGGGGTGGGGGGCTTGGTCACTGATAATGACAATAAAATAAATAAACTTGAATAAGTAAGAAGGGTCTGATCACACCATAGGTGGATAAATTCGGGTTTTTTTTATTTAGATTTGCACCCTAACATAGTCTACGCGATTGAGGTCATATTTCCGCCAAATTTGACCTACAATGTACGAAATGAAGTCGTCCTGCAAAGGCTTGATCGTTCTCACGGGTTGCCAGATTTTTATTGCCGGAATTTGTATCCACCAGACTATGCGGATAGTGACTATACTCTATTATGTGCTGCGAATCATTGAACTCCAACTGCTCAATGTATGCCATCCATTGAAAGTAGCATCCATTTTTAATCCGAAAACCTTTCCGAAATACCATTTTCCACTTGTTCAAACGAAAACAGGAACATTCATCCGCAATTTGCCACCCGATTCGCTATTACACGTTCCTATTCCATTTGCTTCGCGAACGTTATGCGGTCGTTTGAATTTCTGAATGTCGCTTGCATCCGCTTATTTAAATATACCATAAAATGCTTGTCATGGTGGCAAACATAACGGGGATTCGGGGGGGCTATCGCATCATCGCATCCCGATAGTTTACTCCAGCTTATGGCATATCAAACGAAAACAAACAGAGTATCTCGTTTTTATCCCGGCGCTTGTACCAATAGTATAAGCTCGTACAAAAAGAGTCAGAGATATCCAAACAGCCGCACAAAACAAAAAAAAAGCTCCGAATGGACAGTGAAAGCCGAACCGGAGAATGTGAATGACAGTATGCAAAAAAAAAAAGAACGCGGTAACGTTTACTCTGTTAGTAAACATCATTTTCATGCAGATTTTCTCGTTTTTTTTTCTCTACCTCGTCGCATGACTTCTCCGGTTTGCCACGTTTTCGTTTCGTTTGCAATTTTTTTCCCGGTCATTGCGTTCGCGCCACGTGACATGTAGTCGCGCATCCGATAATGTTTCTAGTAAGGTCCTGTAGCATTCGAAGTATGGTTAGACTCAACTATCAGTCAAAATCCGTTTAAGATTAATATAAGAGCAATGTGCTGCAAAATCCTTGATTAAAGCTCGGCCGTTCGCGACGATTTTGACAAAACAGCTTTCGACATTATCACGAAATGAAAATGATCCTCAAAGGATGACATGTCATTAGCCAGTGACGAACATGAGCATGGTTTGTTTTCAGTTGAATTTCTAATTAAATGAATTGTGTAAAATTAATCCATAGAGCCGCCAAAGTTAACATGCATCTACATTCTCAACTGCATTTATAACAATAAGTTAACAGGTGGTCTATGACTATGACAAAATATGAATGGGATTTTGACGATAGTTTAGGTGAGAGTCAATCCTGCCAGTGACAACGTCAAACATAATTTTGTCAATCTCGCGTCAAATCGGTCAGTGACATTGAAGAAAAAAACTCAGCACGGTCGATGAATCTAACTCAAATATGAGTTCAGTTTACTGATAAAGAAAATCGACAGTGAGCATGCATAAGGGCCTATACGCGATGATCGATTCTCTTCGTCGATTTTCTCTTTTGTTAATAACTCGCTAGATTTAACGTTCCTCGGTGCGTTTGATGTTGCTTTTGATAGCCAATACAACCTGTTACTACTCTGCATTGAACAAATTCTAGAAAATTGTTTCACTTAGTTGTAGCAATGCAAAGAGAAAATCGATGAAGAGAATCGATCATCGCGTATTCGCCCTTATGCATGCTCACTTTCGAAATGTCACTCGTCTTTGAATGACATTTATAAATTTTTATTCAGTGGTTTTTGAGGATTTAAACAAACGGATCTCAAATTTGACCCAGATTCAAGCAATTCAAATCTACCGATGTTCATCCAATCCTGTCAATCGGACAAACTTTCACCAGCTTTCAGCAAACGGACCTTCCCCTTCCAAACTAATCCCCGATTGACGACTATTTATTTTCCGATTTTCCCCGCCCGATGCCATCTGTCTATCCTGTATCGTCATTTGCTTTAACCGTTTTTTACCCGGTCAAAATTGTTAGAATAGAATTGCGGCAAAAAAAAATGTCCAAAACTGTATTCACTCACCAATTTTAATGTGTTCAACCGTCTCGTCAGCATCGCTATTGTACGCATGGAATACACCAACATTCGCGCTCAGAACGAGCACCAGTAGGAACATTCTTTTCCTATTTATCATTCTGACATATGCATGCGCTTGGCTTGGCACACACGTTTCTAAAGCACCATACAAAAAAAATAACAGGGTGGGGGGAGATGATTTTCACGGAACGACCACTGCTGACAGAAGACACCGAGCACACTCACACGCCGTAAGCAGCTGACAGATGACACACTTTTCGGTTCGCTTCTATCTGTTACGCAATGTCACACAGTCACGATTTTATGCTCTACTTAAATCAAAGTTGGCTTTGTTTACTTTATGTTTGACAAAAAGTAGGCGCCGGGTGTTGTCAAACAAACGCTTCGCGTTTGTTGTTGTTTATACTCTGCAGCAATCAAGTAAATATTCGTTTTCAAGCTAGTCGATCTTGCTCTTCTTCTTCGATTTTCCTCCCTCTTTATTATTCGTGAGACCACTTGAGATTTTTTTCCCCTTTCGTTCGAAATCAACTTTCACTACATTCCACGGCAATTTTCACCTCATTTCCATCAGCAGCACTCGCATGTGCCGTTGAGTAACGAAATTGAAATATTTTCGATCGGTTTCGATCGAATTTTGGCTGGGAAATTCCACTTTTCCAATGCACACTATTTCCAATAGAGGGAGAAAATTTTCACTTTTCCTAGCAGAACGCACGCGTGTGACACTTTTCCCGTAGTGACAACTTTTCACGACGGCTCTTGACTTTAGACTGCTGTGTGCGATGATGGGATGAGGATGAAGATGAGCACAGTTTTCCTCAGCGGACGGACAGAGACGGTGCTAGGTATACCGTGCGGGACCGAAATCCGTACACCTAAGCACGAGAGAATCATTAACGGTCAATACTAAATAATGCTATCACATTATGCTCTGTATCACATCTTTTTCCTTTACATTTATCTTTATTTTTCCAATATTTGCAAACACCAGGTCTTAAAATTACCTTTAATTATTAGAAAAAAGGATTTAAATTGCACATATCTTGAATCAAAATCCGTACAGCGTTTTACGATTGAATCAAAATCCGTACAGTTTTGAATCGAAATCCGTACACTGTGTTGAGGATGAATCAAAATCCGTACAGTCATGAATCAAAATCCGTACATGAATTAAATCGATCCAAATCAATGAAAAAAACGTGTTGCTATCTTGAATAAAGTATTTTTTTTTGTAGTTGCTTGGCTAAGAGTCCAAAACAGCTATATTCGTTTAAATACACTAGTTTACAGCATATTTGAACTTTGTACGCTGATTGTCATTTCCCATGTAAAATCGTGCGCTGAATCCAAAAATGTAGTCCAAAAAAATCTCGGTAGGATAGTTTTGGAGAAATAGGGGTAAGAGAGGCATAGTGAACAGGTGGGGCATAGTGAGCATCGCGCGTGCTCCAGCTTGGACTTCCGGCCGTTCAGAACAAATTTGTTGGCTGTAGGATCAATATCTTAATGATATTGATCCTACTACCAGTTGATTTGTTTCATGCAGTTGGAGATCCAGAGCCAAAGTACGGGATGCTCACTATGCCCCACCTGTGCACTATGCCCCTCCTTCCCCTAGCTAAAAAATGAAATCTCACGTTAAAAAAAACTAAAACACAAATATCTCTGGCTGCAATGAAGTAATATTAATTATTTTAACGCCAAATTAAACGTATTATTTCGATCGTTATAACACTATTTTTCCGTGAGAGTAATGGTAGAACCACCATAAACATTTTAATTTACATTGCTTAAAAACTTAGCAGAAATTCAATTTTTCTTAGGAAAACTTAATAAACAAACTATTAACTAACAACAATACCATCAATCTCGCAGACAATTGATGTTCAATTGATCGAACGAAAAAATTTCTTACCTCTAATTTAGCGTTAAAATAATTGATATAATCTCATTACAACCGGAGATATTTGTATTATAATAATCAAACTTGTTTAAATTGATTTTTCATTTTTAGCTGTATCTCAAAAACTATCCTACTAACAATTTTTTCGACTACATTGTTGAATTCAGTGCACAATTTTACGTAAGAATCATTCGTCAAAGATTCAAGTTCATTTTTTTTACTTTTACTTTTTTAACTAATGATATCAACGTTGGATTAATTGATGCTCCAATCGATTCAAAGGAGAGGTAACTGAATTCTTTTTATTTAAGAAGGTAACTGCTCTGGATTTTTATGCTAACTAATATCATGTTTAAGGATTAATTTCTTCCAAATTTTATTCTATACCAGTGCTTTGGGTTAAATATTCTTACTGGAGTTTTCCTCCGATCTCAACTTCGAGGTTTTTGAAATTTGACATGTGATAACGTGCAAGATGCGCCATACTTTGGAACTCCACCAACCCACTGGCATCAAGCGATAAATTAACCGGTTCATAAGATGGTAGCCCTATAATGGCGGATAAGTAAAAGAAAAATACAACCATCTTAGAAACCAACAAAAAAAGACAATGAACTGACATCAAGGATTAGTTTTTCGTTTTGCGCATGAAAATCAAAATTGGTAAAATAACGACTATAACTTAATTTAATTTAATGCGTCAAGAGAGTAATAATCATAAAAATACAGATCTTTCATTGCTTCTTTTCCACAGCTTTCTTCTGCTTCTTCTCCATTGTTACTATTGCCTTTTCAAGTTATAATGCTTTCTTGCTTCCAACCCTAATAAAAATAACCATAATAGAGAGCTTCACGACGTGTTCGGGGTATCATCCAAACCATTTGTGGGAAAGTTTACCCATCCGGGATAAAGTTCGTTTATGGTATTTGTTTATTAGGGAACTTTCTTTGCTCTTCTTCCTTTTCTTCTTCCTCTTCCTCTCTCGCTCAACCTTTTTCTTTTGTCGTTCCTCAATCCTTTGTTTCTTTGCGTTCTCTTTATCAATTTTCGCCCGCACTACTTTCATGTGTATTTCCGGTCATTCCTCGCTGGTAGCTACTGCTGGGAATGCTCTCTGGCCCATTTCTGTCTGCTCTCTGTATTTAATTTGTATATGCGTGTTGGTGATATCCTGTAGGGGAGCTGCGTTGTTTTACTTTTCGGCTGGTTCTTGACGCTCTTCATTAAAAGGTATTAATAATATAACGTTTACAATACGAATAAAATAAGAGAGTAGCGATTCAATACGGCATCTCTTATGGTGGTGAATTGAACGGCAAAATCCCTGGATGCTTCTCGGTAAGATTTCTCCGCACGTATTGCCACAGTCTTCTCCAAATCCTCCGGCGTGTATTTAGTTTCCATGATCTGCTGAAAAACATTGGATAAAGTAGAATCGTCATTAGTGATGCACAAGTGTACGGATTTAGAATCAGCTGTTATATATGGATCGAAATCCGTACAGTACTAATTTTGATAAATAAATACCATATGAACGATCCATTGCTTAGAATTGAGATATAAAACGATAAACACTAACCTTTTCGATCGACCTTCAGGAAACTACTTGCAAACATCACTGAAATACGGTTAACAAACTGAAGTTAATCCGAGAGATTTTCTTAGAAAATCGTTAAGAACGCAACCGATTGACAGAAATGCCCGACACGTGTTAAGTTTTTTATTTTTCTTATTTTAATTGCATGACATTCTGCTTAATTGTTGACGTAAACATTAAGCTAATGCATGAATGAACATGAATATGTATTCATGTCTAATATTTACATTGTTATGATGCATATAAATAAACAAATTCAACAGGGTGTACGGATTTCGGTGCTGTACGGATTTCGGTCCCGCACGGTATTCTTTCAGTTTCAATGAGATTGAAGTAACTAACTAGGTGCGGTTGCTTATTTTTGTGTAAGTTTGTCTAAAATTACCGTCGGCAGTTGGAGATGAAGATGATGTTGATGATGTTTACGAGAGTGAAAGGTGTCTTGGTTGTTGTTGGCTGGTGATTGTTGAGATTTAGGCTGTGTTCCATTTGGTGAGTTTTCATTTAAAATTGATGCTTTGAAACAGGGATGGATCGCTCTTTGGAGCATCGATCATTACATTTTCATAAAGAAAGCTTAACGTTAAGTCCAATTAAATTTTTAGAAAAATCCATCTTAAATAAATAGATTAATGATAGTATTTTCCCGATCAAAGCGAGGGGGGGCGACTCTATCTACGATGAAGGAAAAATTGTGTTTTACTGTGGTAGGCTGCGTGCACGCTGAGTAGTTAGAAAGAAGATTGATGACGATTCTGAAGATTTCCTGTATTTCGCGATGCAAGTAGATGCGAGAAATGAAAGAAGATTTTTCGAAGGTTGATTCCCTAGTGTGAGATTTGTTGGCATCTATAATTGAGATTTAAATGTGTCACCCCCTCGGATCAAACTTTAAAAATTTCACACCGTTGAGCCTAGTGTTGCAATTTCCCGGTCATTTCTGAAGTGTGAAGTGATGGAGGAAAAGTACGAAATGCGATACCACCTGGCGCTGAAAATACCGGAGAAGAACAATGTGCTGGAAAAGTGGTTATAAAGCAGTGCAAGTGCAGGTCGATGCTTATCTCCTGGATTCATGATTCGATGCTAGAATATGTTCTGGACAAACATCTTGGACTGAAGTTCCAGCGGAATGAAAGGCCGAGTTTTTAATGTTTGATGATATAAACATTATTTACACGAGATGTACACACATCGAGTTTACTGTTGCGAATGATAAAAATGGCGCACAAATCAGAAGGCTGATGCTGCGCTCTCGCTCTGCTACCGTCTCTGTCACTATCACTGTCACTACAGTATAGCTCTTTGCATCAAGGTGTGTAGTGAAAGGTGGCATGACCGTTGGTGTAACACTCCTCCTCAAGGAACACTGCCATCCTATGACGACAATCCCAGCACCCGTGGAAACTTCATCTGTTTGACTGAACCCACCGGTTTAGTGAGTACATCAGCCACCATGTCTTCAGTTGGACAGTACTTCAACTCGATGCATCCGTCATCACACAGTTGCTTCACGAAATGTCCCCGCACCTTAATGTGCTTGGACCGACGACTCTTGCGTTCTGACGTTACGAAATGGATACAGCTTTGGTAATCCTCTATCACTTTGAAGGGTTGGTTAGCTGTTCACCCATGTCCTTCAGCAAGCTCCGAAGCCAGATCAGTTCCTGACTAGCATCACTCAGCGCCACATATTCGGATTCCATCGAAGACAGTGCGACGCAACTTTGTCTTCGACTAGCCCACGATACTGCTCCACCGGCATAGTGGAAGACGAATCCTGTTGTTGATCTTCTTGTACCAAGCCCAATCGGCATCCGAATATCCGATTAGCTTTCCACCCGCGTCGCTGTACTTCAATCTCCACTCTTTCGTTGCCTTCGAATAGCGGACAACACGTTTTGCCGCTATCCAATCCGCCTCCGTAGGCGCACTCACTTTACAACCCAATATCGCTACGCTACAATACTCCGATAGTCCATCCCGTGCGACAGTTGAGGACTCTTATCTTCCGTGCTCTGGAAACCCTCTTCCATTTGTGTCTTTGCCCGCTTTGCATCATGGAGCCCAAACTTTTCTGCAACACGACCGATGTACCCTTCCACTGAAACACTGTACTTTCCATGTTCCTTCCGAATATCTAGTCCCAAGAAGTAATTGAGCTCTCCAAGATTGGTGATTTTGAAATACTGTTTCAGCACTTTATACACCGCTTCGATCTTCGCTTCATCTTCGCAACCAACCAAAATA